TGGCTCAGCTGATAAGGGAGGAGAGCGTGTGGCTTAGAGGCTAATACAACTGCCTAACATGTAAAAACAGCCCAGGTTCGAATCCCAGCAAGGGTATGGCTAGCTGATGCGAGCTAAATAGCTTGAAATAGATCTATACTAGTCTCCCTTTATTTATCTATCAGCAAAAATGCAACACAAAAATGGTTTTGTCTCTGGAAGGCTCCTAGGGGAGAGCTGAAAGGCAAAAGGGAAGCAGTATGCTACCTCCCCTATTTGGGCATACCAGGTGCTTTGATATGTATGTATGTATGTATGTATGTATGTATGTATGTATGTATGTATGTATGTATGTATGTATTAATAAAGGGTCCAACTTTTGCATGAGTTTGCAATTCTGGTTGGCTTCTTTGCAAAGGCGGTTTAAGCGAAGCAGCAGAGAAAACAAATGCAGGATATTTCAACACCCTCAAAATGCAACATCAACAGCGTTTTACAAATCTCCCCGTTTCAACAACACACTTTTTTATAAGTATGCAAGAGCACTGGTACAGAACGAATAAAAAAATATTTCAGAAGCATCTCTCTTTCTTGAGTTTCCTTAGCAATAATTCTTCTTTCTGTTCCTTTTGAGCCCGACAAAATGATGCTATGAACATATTAAGGTTACAGCGTTGGCCGCATTTAAATCAACCCCCAAATGGGCACATCCTTGCTATGCTTCTATTGGCTTCGATCCAAATTCAGAAGACATCTCTTCCAAGCTTATCATAACAAGCCACCAATCAACAACGGTTAACCCCAAGTTCCCTCTGTCAAGTAGAACAGCTGCTTTGTGTGATTATTTTGAAAGGAACAAACACGTGTGAGAAATAACACCTTTCAGGACACAAATCCTTCCTTCCTTGGTGGTTTGAAAAGGGAGGCCTTCACCCTGCATCGGTTTTCCGCCTCTAGATATGTCTATAGCCAGCACGATGCCGAACTTTGGTACAATATGCCATCACCACCAGCCAAACTAAGCCTACCAAGGCTATTGCCATCAGGAGTGGCACAAAGACGTTGTTGATCGCTGGGGTGCAATCTTCAGCTGGATGGAGAAAGGGTGATAAACAGAGTTAAGCAGGTGAGTTGACTTCTTCGAAGAGAACATCATTCTGGCCACTGACCCAGCTGGAGATGCCAGAGGCAGTCCACCCATGTTGCTTGGCCAACGCAAACCACAACAGCAAAGCAGACCTCCCCGTTTGCAAAGCCCCCAGACACCTTTGCCAAGAGAGCTTCTTGTAGACCTAGGGAGCTCAACCAAGCCCAAACTTAAGGATCATGTTATGGTAACCGGATGTCCTCCAGAAATATAAAACTCAATTCCCAGCCAATATGACTTGTGATTGGAATTCTGGGACCTCAAGAGCCACAATCTGGAGGATGTCCACATTGAGAACTGTGGTTGTCAAGACTCAGTAAGAAAAGGCCAACTCTCATGTCCGTCACGTTGCTCCAGATGTTCCTGGGGAGCTAGAAATCAAAAGAAGGAAGCCATATTCCTTCCCCAAGGGCCTCCACCAGCAGACACTATGGTGGTCGGGAAACCAATTCGTGGCTTAATAATAAACTGGGCCACTGCGGTTTCTTCAAGAAATCATTGTGCAGTATAACCACCGGTAAACCAAAATCTCCAGGAAATCTCTACACATCCCGATGAATCCATCTTCTTCCTCCTTGGCTAATTTAATTTCCATTTATTTTAGCCATGCAGGCGAATAACCAGTGCCATTTGCTTTGGGTAACAAATTCTAGCTTGTGGCTCTCACCATGGGGAGCAGAACAAGCTCCAATTCTTGGCTTCACCCAATAGACTAAGTTACAACTAAATGGACCATAGTGGCTCAATGCGCAGGACTGAAAAGCACCATCGCCAGGTCTCCAACAAATGTCTACTTGGTTAATGTATGTTTCATTGGAGCAAAGATATATATATATATATTGGGGCTTACCAGGGGTTGTAAAAATCTAATAGATACCTTTCACCCTGGCTTCGGCTGATAACGGATAAGAGCCTGTGGCCTAATGGCTAAGATCTCTGCCTGGTGTGCCTAGTATGCCATATAGCCCAGGTTCAAATCCCAGTAAGGGTGTGGCTAGCTGATATATACACATATACNCCCCACTTCCACAAGGCACACCTGGGGACTGAGATGTAAGGAGGTGCCGGTGGGAAGGGGCATTTGTCGGGAACAAACGTTGAATCTGTGGAGCCTCGCGGAGCCCTTGCCAATGCCTGGAGATTGCTGTACTCTGTCTTGTGGGACGAAGTTCAACTTCGCTGAACTTCTTGCTCTGGTTACTGTTTGACTAACCTGGCTTATTGGGATTGCTGGCCCTGGTTACTGTTTGATTAACCTGGGTTACTGGACCACTCGCAGCCACAAGGTGCGCGTGAGAGCTTTGCTCCAGGACTTGTAGTGAATGTGGGGACGCTTGGGGGGCACAGTTGGAGCAATAAAGGGGAGTTAGACCTGTTCTCTGGTTGTGTTACTTTCATTCCCTCCCCCTCCCCTTCCCGAATCATCACACATTTCCTTAGGGGTCAGTGCCACAGCATAACACGTCCCAAATACTCTCAACGACATGGATAGTTTTTGTTTTTTGTTTTAATTTTAAAAAGACAACATCCGAGTATCACATAAATGCGGAGGGAGAAATAAAAGGAAGGAAATGGGACCGAGGAGGGAAGGAGAGGAAGGGAAGGGAGATTCACACAGGATTATAATCCCCTTGACCCTTGCATCTGGAAACCATGAAAATCACAAAGCCAATAATCACCAAGACACCAGTTACCACACCCAGCACAATAGGGATGACAAAGAGAATGTCAGAGCTGCTACATTCTTCAGCTGCAGAGATAAAGATGGGGGGGGGGGGAGAAAAACAAAAACAAAAACAAAACAAGAGACAGAAGGTTAGTTAGTGACCAAAGCAAGTATTGGCAGTTAAATTAGCAGAAGCGCAAATAATAGTATTCTTAAATTTAATTGATGTTGGGTAAGGGGTTGGTGGGTTGGTCTTAACCACCTGGCTCTTAAGTTGTCTTCTTCCTGGTTTCCCAAACGAAAACTTACCAGACAGGACTAGCAATAGCAATAGCAATAGCAATAGCAGTAGACTTATATACCGCTTCATAGGCCTTTC